CAACTGTGAACCTAAAAATTGAGTCATTTTTGAAAGAGATTTATCCTTGCTCTGGAATGTGTTACTGAATATGTTAAAGCTGTAATGAAATGCTTCTTCTAATCATATGGTTATTAAATTTAAAAACTGTGCTTTGTTTAGAGAGCTGGCAAACTGAGGACACAGTGGGTTAACATCCTAAAAATTTGCCTTAAATCTCACCTCTAACCAACAAATCATATGGGGTAGGGGAGGACAAAAGAATTGATCATTGTAGAACTCAGTCTCGCCTCTGTGGGCAGGGGATCAGCCACATTTCTGAGACTTGTGATGTCTGTGTTATCATCTCTTACACTCTTTCCTCATTCTGTGGATATTTGGACCCAGGCACTTCTTGAAACCCTGGGTGTAGGGGCCAGCAAGATGTCTCAGCAGGTAAAAGCGCTTGCCACCAAGCATGGGTACCTGAGTTTAATCAATCCTGGGGACCCACATGGTGGACGAAAAGAACTGACTCCCAAAAGTTGTCCTCTGATTTCCACACATATATACAAAATTAATAAATAAGCTATGCTGGAGAAAAAGTGAGTCTAGGGTCTGCCAGCATCAATCATGTGCTCCTCCAGGGGCATCTGGGTTGAGAGGGGGGTTGTTAACTCAGAAGAAGCAAACCACAGACAGTGTATATGTGCTAAGCTAGTCGTGGAACTCACTATGTAGACCCGGCTGGCCTTGTACTCACAGAGATCTGCCTGCCTCTGCCTCCTGAGTGCTGGGATCAAAGGCATGTACCACCACACCCGGTATGTGCTGATTCTTTTTTACAATACAGAGTACAGTGTCTTCATAATACAGAATATGAAACTGTCCCCATCATGTCCACAGCTCTGCTGCTGTGCAAACCTGCTTTTCCCTTTACAATGACTTCCACATTGCCCCCAGATAATTGTAGAAGGCTCATACTTGATCCTACGGCGTTAGGTAGAGACATCACCTCATGACTTGTGGTATGACTTAGCTGAGGAAAATGAGGGGAATCACAATAAATTCACACGTTTGATAGCGTAGGTGAAGAAACCTGTTAAGCCCAAGGCAGCTGCGAGAGCCGCTGCAAGTCCTGAGAGAAACTAAGCAGAAAAAAAAAAAAAAAAAAAAAAAATCAAGAAGGAGGCCGAGGACTTTGAAAATTGAAGAACATCCCATCCCCAAGACTGGTTGGAGCACGCTTTTCCAGTTCTAAGAGCGGTCCAAGCTACCAGGTCTATAAAAACAAATCCCTCGGGCTGGAGAGATGATTCAGCACTGGGTGTTCTCGCAGAGAAACTAGGTTCAGTTCCCAGTACTCATGGCATCTACCACCTGTAACTCCAGTTCCAGGGGATATGACACCCTCTTCTGGCCTCTGTGGGCACTGCGGATGTACTACAGTTACATACATGCAGGCAAAAAAGGTCATACACATGATTTTTTAAAATAAACCCCTTTTCTTTCTGAAGAGGAGTGTAAGGGAGGGTGGATATCTATTCATCTCATCCAAGAGAGACAAAAGAACTGGTCATCATCATAGAATCAGAACCAGCATGCTGCATAGGGTAGCAAAGGTGTTGAACTGTGTCAAGATGGTCATTGGTTCAGCTGTAACCAACACATATAATCTTGAGGAAGTCATTTCGTCTCTGAGCCTCAGTTTACCTCCCTAAAACTTAGGATAAAAGTGTGTTAGTAAAGATGAAATTAGGTAACCTAAGTGAAATGTAGGGTTTTTTCTTATGTGTATGACTGTATTGCCTCCATGCATGTAAGTGCACCCACGTTGTGCAATGCCCCTGGAAGACATAAGACAGTCTCTGATCCCCTGGAACTGGAATTAGGAAGGTTGTTAACTGCCATGTGGGTGCTGAAAAATGAACTTGGGTCCTCTGCAGGAGCAGTCAATGCTCTTCCTCACTGAGTTGTCTCTCCAGCCCCTTTTGTTGGTCTTTTTGAGACAGGATCTCCTGGTAGCCCCAGCTGGCCTGGAACTTGCTATGTAGACCAGGCTGGCCTCAATCTCACAGAGATCTGCCTGCCTCTGCCTCATGAGTGCTGGAATTAAAGGCGCATGCTACCATGCTCAGCTGAAATTCAGTTTTGAGCTATAATGTCACTGTCATTATCCACACAGCACACTGGCCCAGCTGAGGTCACTCAGAAGGGCAGGAGGTGGGCTGATTAGCCACCATGGAGATGTCACATGGGGAGATAGATGTAGCAGGGAGATGAAGGTTGGGGTTTTAGCAGAAAAGCCCATAGGCTGAGAGGGACCAACCTGCACCTCACAGTTTAGAGAAAGCCTAAGTCTCAGGAGGTTTGATGATGTAACCTAGTCAAGTATAGATGAAGAATTGTTGCCAAACTGAGGCATAGGGACAAATAGACTGCATCTTGGGAGCTGAAGCCAGACTGAAGGACAGGAAAACTGGTTTCTACTTCTAGATCTTCCATAATTTGTGGAACAAATTTTGGGACAAATCATTCTACCTTTTATTTAGCTCACTTGCCTGCTAAATAGGGTAAGTAATACCTAGTTGTGGGACAAACACCAATTTTATGCTTGCACAATGATTTATTGAGATACTAGGCATCACTCACATAAAGTTGACCCTTTTTAATCTGGGCAGCCTTTTGAAGCAGGTGAGGTAGAGGCAATCTTACGTTACAAATGGAGGATGACATGTAGCATACATTATGTGGCAGGTGTTTGTACTAAATACCATAAACCAGCATCTCTTTTAATTCTCTACTTTTGTAGAATCTATATAAGCTGTACTTAACAAATGAGAAAACAGGTTCAGAGTGGGCAAGAAATTTGACGAAGTCACCCAGTTAAGTGGAAACCAGATCTCTTCAGTATAGAATTTACCATTATGTTGAGTTGCATGTGAAGGAATTTTGAAAACATAAAGCTTAGAAATTTGTAGCTACAGATTTTACTACAGCAAATCTAGAGAGAAACCTCTTCACTTGGAATTAAATTTTGGTAGACATTAATAACTGGATAAAGCACCCTTGCCTTGTTGAAGTAAATGCAGTTAGTGTAAATTCTCAAATGCTAACAAACAAAGGAAATGAAGAATTTCAGACCAGTAGACAAAGATATACAAGCTAGCTGGAGCCCAAAAATTGCAATTGTTGTGAAGAAAGAAAAGTTTAAGGACCCAACAAAAAGGCTACTGAAAATAAGAAAATGTCAGGGTTTGGATTCAATCACAGAGGTAAATTTCTTTCTGCAAATGTATTCTGTTGTATTTGTCTCCAACAAAATAGAACCACACATGGAGTTGGAGAGATGGCTCAGAGATTAAGAGCACTGGCTGCTCTTGCAAAGGACTTGAGTTTGGTTCCCAGCACCCACATGGGGGCTAACAACCATCCATAGCTCCAGTTTTGGAAGATCAGACACCCTCTTCTGACCTCCATTGGCATTGCATATCACCAGTGCACTTATGTACATGCAAGCAATACACTCATATACATATGCATATAAATAAATATGTATGGTGTTTAGCTAAGTCTATGCATGTGGGTCACTGCTAGGTACAGAAAAGAAACAGGCAAGCTGAATCAGGCATGCTGGCACACATTTGTAATCCCAGAACTGGGGAGGTAGAGGCAGTAGGATCAGGAGTTCAAGGTCAATAGGGATGGAGAGCTGGCTCAGCAGCTAAGAGCACTGGCTGCTCTTGTAGAGGACCCAGGTTCAGTTCCTAACACCCTCATGATGGTTAACAATCATCCATAATTCCAATTCCAGGGGATCTAACAACCTCTTCTGATGGAGGGCATTGCACGACATGGGTGCACTTACATACATGCAGACAACACATTCATACACATAAAATTAAAATAATAAATAAAATATTAAAAAATAAATAGGACAAGCATGATTTTAGAAGAAATACATACTAAAAAATAAATAATAGATGACAGACAGATAGATGATGATAGAAATAGATGATTGATAGAAAGATAGTATTTAGCTAGCTAGCTAGATGATAGAGATAGATGATAGACAGATAGATGACAGATAGATAGATGATTGATAGATAGATAGATTAGACAGAGAGGCAAACAGAGACAGTAGCTAGCTAGCTAGATGATGCTAGAGATAGATGATAGATAGATGATAGATAGATAGATAGACAGATAGATAGATAGATGATAGGTAGATAGATAAATAGATAATAGATAGGCAAACAGATAGATGATAGATAGATGATAGATAGATGATAGATAGATAGATAGATAGATAGATGATAGATAGATAGATAGATAGATAGATAGATAGATAGATAGATAGATAGATAGATAGATAGATAAAGTAGGTAGGTAGATAGATGACAGAGATGATAGTAAAATTTGAATTAAAAAAAAAATCAAGGAATCCACGTCTCTATGGTTGTTTCGGAGGCCGAACACGAGGATACACTCTATCTCGCCACAGAACTCTATGGTCCGAGGCGCGGTGCGGACCCGGAAGCGATCCTGGGAGGTCAGGACGTCAAGATGGCGGCGCGCGCAGCGTTGGGGGCGGTGTACCGGCACCTACGGCAGGTAGGCTGTGGTCCGCGGACCGGAGTCTCACCGCCTCCCCCCGGTCCCACCCTCCAGGAATCTTCTCCCACGTGTGTTACTCACCTGGGGCAATAGTAGGCCGGAAAAGGGCTGGTTTTCTCTTAATTCTCTCGCCTGATTAAGGATATATGAAGACAGGAACGAGAATTGTCTAATGTCAGGACGGAAGGATTAGGAAACATGTATTCAGAAACCCTCCGTTCACGTTAGAAAAGATAACGGAGCAAGTCCGAGGGTCGGAGAGGACGCTAGGCCAGTCTAGGGTGGAGCGGTGCTGGAGCGCAGACACCTCGCCTGGGACCCCCGTGGAGATGCGGGCTCCAAAAGATACGGGGTTTGTGGGTCTTCTCTGTGTTACTTGGTACTTTAGGAAATAAAACTGCCAGCCAGATGCCGTGGCTCAAATTTGTGATACCAGGACTCGGGAGACTGAGGCAAGAGGAAGGTCAAGCGTTCGAGACCAGCCTGGCCTGCATAATGAGACCCTGTCGAATGAATGAATGAATGAATGAATGAATGAATGGGATGGATGAATGGGATGGATGGATAGCTTAGTTTGTCCGGTGCTTGACTCACATGCATGAGGCCTGTGGTTTGAGTCCTAACACCACATGAAACCAGGGGTGATGACCCACACCTGTAATTCAGCACTTGGGAAGCAGAGACAGGCAGATCAGAAGAGGGCTACATAAGATCCTGTCTCTGTGTGTGTGTGTGTGTAGCAGAGACAGGCGGATCAGAAGAGGGCTACTTAGTTTGTCCGGTGCTTGACTCACATGCATGAGGCCTGTGGTTTGAGTCCTAACACCACATGAAACCAGGGGTGATGACCCACACCTGTAATTCAGCACTTGGGAAGCAGAGACAGGCAGATCAGAAGAGGGCTACATAAGATCCTGTCTCTGTGTGTGTGTGTGTGTAGCAGAGACAGGCGGATCAGAAGAGGGCTACATAAGATCCTGTCTCTATCAGTGTGTGTGCGCGCGCTCCCCTGGAGACTGAATTAGGTAGATGAGGAACTCCAAGTTATACATTGTACCCTTTGCTTCCTAAAAGAAGTTTTGTTCCACCAGGGGGAGCTCACAAAAAGGGTTTAGGCCGTTCTGGGTTATTGTGGCTTCTCCCATAACCCTTAATGGTGGGTATACAATGCTGCCTGTACTGTAGTTAATTTATGAGCTAGTTGCTTTAGATAAGCAGAGATAAACATCTGCTTGAAAAGACGTGCGAAAGCCTCAAAAGAAGGGTATTTATTCCATCTGTTGACAGATTAAATTATACACACGTAATTGTTTATATTGCTTTAAAATATTCAAGTAAATCAGGCAGGTGGCACATGCCTTTAATCCCAGCGCTCTGGAGGCAGAGGCAGGCACCTCTGTGAGATTGAGGCCAACCAGGTCTACATAGCAAGTTCAAGGCCAGCTGGGTCTACAGGGAGAACCTCTCTCAAAAACCAAACAAAAAATTTCAAGTAAGAACTGAAGAGATGGCTCATTGATTAAGAATACTTGCCAACTCCCACACGCCAGCTCACAGCCATCTGCAATTCCAGTTCTAGATGATCCAACATCCTCTTTGGCTTCCACAGCACCAAGCAAGCAAACACATGTAAAATAATAAATAAATAAATCTTTTTTGGGGGGGCTCTTTTTGAGACAGCGTCTCTCTTAGCCCCAGCTGACCTGGAACTCACTTTGTAGCCCTCGCTGGCCTGGACCTTATGAGTCCCTGTCTGCTGTGTGTTTATGTATGTGTGATAGCTTTACTTATTTATAGTGAGTGTTTAGGAGTACTTGTTGGTTCTCAAGTCTGTGTCATCCATGGTTTTTTGAGACAGGGTCTCCCTGTAGCCCCAGCTGGCCTGTAATTCACTGTGTAGACCAGGCTAACCTTAATCTCACAGAGATCCACCTGTCTTTGCCTCCCAAGTGCTGGGATTAAAGGCCTGCACCACCACACCTGGCTTCTGAGTTGCTTTTAAATGAAATCTAATTTGGCCATTTTGATTCCCCAGTGTCTCCATTTGAAGCATCTTTTGAGTTTTAGTGGAAACTATGAGCACTTTGGGAACTGGCTTCAATTCTAATGCTTGTCACTTTTTTTTTAGGAGTTGGGGAATTTGATTGTAAATAGCTCTAAGATTGGTATATCCAAAAATGATGGCTTCCTGCTGTAAGTATACAGTTAGCTATGCTTAGACGAATTAGAAATGGGCTCTGCGCTGTTGACTTAGGTTTCTCTTTTCCCCACACACAGTACTACCAATATGAAGTGGGTCCAGTTTTCAAACCTACACATCGATATTCCAAAGGACTTGACCAAACCTACGGTATGTATGTTGTGCTCCTCAATTAAGGGGCTGTCTGTATTAAACAGCCCGGTGCAGGCCTGGGACCCCAGCACTTAGGAGACTGAGGCAGGAGGATCAGGAGTTCAAGGCTATCATCAGTCACATACAGGTTCAAGGCCTGGGCTACAAGCAAACCTGTCTCAAATAACAACACCAACAACACAAAAGGACCTACCTACTTTAACTTTTTTCCTGATAATTTTATTTGGGCCTGTTTTCCAAACAAACAAAACCTTTTTGTCCTAGAATATCAGCAAATGCACAGTGTGTATATACATTGTTTATTCCAAATAAGGGGTTTAGTGAGCAGTCTCTTGTTTTTAGTTAAACCTAACTGAAGAGCTGTGACAATTAATGGGGCCAAATCCTTGGTATTATATTGTGGAATCATACCTTCCTGTAGACTTCAAGTCTTTGCTTTCATTTAAATACGGTCTTGGCCTGCGCAGTGCTGTGATGCTCACAGTGAGGAAGAGCACTGAACAGACTGGGGAATCTCAAGTAGCCATGTGATCGTATAGAGACACTGCACTGATCCGCCTGCTTCAAAGTAAGGTCTCTTTTCATCTAGCCCAGGCTGCCCTTGAATTAGCTAGGTAGCCAAGGTTGCCCTTGATTGAATGGCTCTTCCTGCTTCTGTGGCCCAGGTGATAAGATGATGCCACTTCCAGCTACCATAATTTTTTTTTAAATCTTAAAAATTCCAAATTCTCCCATTTCTACCTCCACAAAAATCCCTTTCTAGTTTGGTGTGACTTCTAGGCGTTTGTCCACGTGTCATCATTTTATCCATATATGTGGAATTATGTTATCCACAGTGTACTGCAGTTGGTTTTCTGTCTTTATTCACTTATTAATATTGGAAACATATCCGTGACACTACGTGTGAACACTGGTCTCCAGCTCAAGTGCCTGCAGGGCCAGGCATGAAGAAGAGTGGACGGGAGGACTGGAGAGATTAGTCAGTGAAGTGCTTGCCACGAGTGCTGGAGTTCAGAGCCCCAGCACTCCACACGAAAAGCTGGTCACATCCCTTTAATCCCAGCACTTGGGAGGCAGAGGCAGGCAGATCTCTTGTGAGTTCAGCCTGGTCTGCATAATGAGTTCCAGGCCAGCTGGGGATACAGGGAGACCCTGTCTCAAAAAGACCAAAAAAAAAAAAAAAAGCTGATCACAGTAGTGTATGCCTGTAATCCCAGTGCTCAGGAGGGGACACAGGAGGATTCTTGGGTCTTGCTGGCTAGCTAGTTGAGCCTACTTAGTGAGTTCCAGGTTCAGTGAGAGACCCTGTCTCAAAAATATGGCCGCTCCAACAAGCTGGCTTATTGGATAAAGCTCTTAGTGATAACCTGAGTTTGAGCCTCAGAATTCAAGATAGAAAGAGAGAACTGAGTCCCACAGATTGTCCTCTGACCTCCATGTACATGCTTTGGTGCACACGTACTCAACGTACATGCACACACATACACACACACACTTTCTCTCTAGCATTTGCCCTGGCCACTTGTGGCCCTCTAGGAAATCAGACCTTTGGAAGTTAGTTCATTTAAATACTCAAAGCTAAATTGATTTTTTTTTTTAATTTTATGTGTAAGTGTGTATTGCCTGCATGTGGGTAAGTGCACCCATGTCGTGCAGTGCCCACAGAGGACAGAAGAGGCTGTCCGAGCCCCTGGAACTGGAGTTAGAGACAGTTGTTAGCTGCCATGTGGGTGCTGGGATTTGAACCTGGGTCTTCTGCAAGAAAAGTCAGTGCTCTTAACCGCTTTTATAAGAAATCCAGTTCACAGAATCTGTGTGCATTGGTGGTATAGTGATGCGCACAGCTCCCTTCTAGTTCACAGAATCGTTAAACCTTGTAAGGAAAATGGAGGCCTATTCAGTGGTCCGGTGCTTGCCTAGCATGTGCAAAGCCCTGAGTTTACTCCCTGGCACGATGAGAAATTAAAATAAATAAAACCAGAACCTACCAGGGTCAACCAGAACGCATCTTAATGCCATACACTTTCTTCACAACCCCCGAAGATCAGTGTGTTCTATTTTTCAAGCGCCCTGTTTGGAATAGCTGGGAGCAGATGTCTGCCTCCCCAGTTATTAAGTCAGTCTCTTAGGGGTGAAGTAATTGGACCTTGAATCATTGGATTGGTAATAGAATACCCTGGTGTGGCGGAGGAACGAAATGAAGATAATTCACCTCTTGGATGAAAGTCAAAAATGTCAAACGTATTACTTTGAGGTCTTCAGGTTAGGGTGGGAGAGGCAGAGGTTACAGGTCCAGTCACTGCCAAAACATTTTAATTAGAGAGTCATT